TGACCTTACCGGTATTGGCCAAGTTGTATTATGCAAATTATACGGCTTTATCAACCTTGCACCACCAATTGATGAAGATCATCATAGTGAATTAGATGGATATTAAAAATTATTTATTAATGAATAGTTGATGCCATTTTAATTAATAAATAGATAACTGTTTCATATCGCGATCAACCTTGGTTTACGGACTAGTTAAGGAAATTGCATCGAATTAAGCAAAAACGTTATAAAAAAATATCAGGAGACAGGATTGCGAAAGATGCTTACTTTCAAAGAATTTCTTCTAGGAGAAACACATCTAAATCCTGGTGGAACTTATTAAAACACTGCTTAAGCAAAACTAAACATTTAGTATCCCCCCGCTGTATGATCCCTTAGCTAAAAAGATTGCAACCAGTCCAGTTGATAGAGCACGAATACTTAATCAGCATTTTTCGTCGGTCAGCACAAAGGATGCAAATTACTCTCTTCCACCCCAGGCATCTCTTCCAATGTCAAAAATTGTTACGTCAGGAATTACGGTAAATGTTTCTGAGGTTTTTGATATCCTACTGTATTTAGGTGTGTCGAAGGCAACCTCACCAGGAATATCAAATAGGATGTTAAAAGAGGCAGCAGCTATCATTGCTCCTGTTCTTACAGAGTTGTTTAATAATTCGCTAGAGTATGAGGAATTTCCAAAAGCATGGCAATTAGGTTACACAATACCATTGTACAAGTCTGATGATCCTCAATCATCAAACAACTATCGCCTCATTACACGTTTACCAGCTTTATCAAAAATCTTTGAGCGAGTCATTTATCGACATGTCTATGGTTTTTTAAGAACCAACAACTTAATTTGCAAAAACCAGTCTGGTCTTGTACCTCACGACTCCTCTGTGAATCAACTAATTTCAATAGTTGATTTTATTGCTAATAGTTTGAATGAGGGAAATCGGTTACTAGCAGCGTTTTTGGATTCCAGTAAGGCATTCGACAAGGTTTCACATAGTGGATTACTGGTTAAGCTTCGCAGTAAGGGATTACTTGATTCTCTGATTCGGTGGTTTGACAGCTATCTATCGTTCAGATGCATTGTGAGTATGGTTGACGGAAATACATCTGATGAGCTATCTGTGGCGTGCGGAGTTCCCCAGGGCTCTATATTAGGACCATTGCTTTTTCTCATCTACATTGATGATCTACCTTTATCGGTTAGATCAACTTGTAAATTATTTGCAGATGACGTGTCTCTATACATAACCGCAACTGACATCACAACTGCTGTCAAAGTTATGAATCAAGATCTTGCTGGAATCGCTGCATGGTCGGTGAAATGGGTACTATTTTTAAATGTGAAAAAGTGTGCAGGAATGGTGTTTACGCTAGATCCGTTGGCGACCGTTCCACTATTAGTTATTAACAACATCCAGTTAGATTATGTCGATAAGCACACTCATTTAGGTCTAATACTGGCACCCAGTTTGAGTTGGAAAGAACATCACACGAAAAAATATTGTACGACTTGGGACGGCTAGCAATCCAGGACCTTATTTACGTTCGTAGATTGTGTTTGTTTCACAAAATAATGTATGGAAAAACAGCTAGTTATCTAAAGGAGCTAATATCAGTGAATACGCAGTTGACCTATGCCACTAGCAGCGTTAGTCACAACATGATCCCAGTTATTCCACGAGGTAGACAGTTCGTAGATAGATTATTTATCAGGCCAGCATGGGCTTCTTGGAATCCTCTGCAGGATGACATCAAGTATACTCATCGAGCTGATACTTTTAAATCTAAATTGACGGCTAGCTTTATTTCTACGTTTAAACTACCACTAGTCTCTGAGCGTCTACTTGAAATTCACCATCTCCGTTTTCGGGTTGATTTTCCTCAGCTGAATGAGCCTTTATATCACCGTAAACTCGTCCTATCACCACTTTGTTCTTATGGAGATAAGGAAAGCACTACTCATTATTTTTTACTCTGCTTACATTACGACCAGCAGAGGAACGAGCTTGTTGAAAAACTCAAAGTGCTGGTGAATTGTGATAAAATTCACCTTGATTAGCTGCTATTAAGAGATGTAACAACTAGACAGCTACCAGCTGAGCAATTAATTGCAGTCTTTTCAGTAATATTACACTTTATCAAACATACTGGGCGGTTTATGCCTTAAGGCCCTATTATTGCTATCTTCTCTTATCTTACTGGCACACATGGATCAACGTATCTATTTCTAAGTTATATCTCTTCCTTTTGTCATCAATTATACACACATACGATATTTTCTTAATGCAGCCTCATTCTTTTTTCTCAATGAATTTTTATTAATCTGCTTTTTTTTTCTCTCTTATGGGCATACAATGGGGCTTGCCCCAATGTACCCACATTCTATTGCCATGTTTAAATAAAAAAAAAACAATAGTCAAAGAGGTACACCTATTCTTGCGCCGATCATCTGCGATCTTATTAATTCTTCTCTTAAGTACTTCATTTTTCCTTACTCGTTAAAAATTGGTAATGTCTTACCAGTGTGTAAGAAAGGTGATATAAACAAATTAGAAAATCATCGTCCAATCACGCTTCTTCCTATTATCGGCAAGGTTATGGAACGTGTGATATTCACTTATTTATACAACTATCTCTTCTCAAATAATCTTATTTCAGTTCATCAATCTGGTTTCGTTAAAAGGGACTCGTATATTAATCAACTGTAAATTTTATCCACTATATTCATGAAGGTATTGAGGAACAAGGTTTTATAAGAGCTATATTCCTTGACTTCTTAAGGGCATTCGACACTGTATGGCATAGAGGATTAATTTTCAAGCTGAGAGAAAACGGGTATGTGAACAAGTCATTAAGTGGATTGAAAATTATCTAAATAGTAGAAAAATAAGAACAGTTATCAATAGTTTTTCGTCTGATTTTTTGGAAATAAACTGCGGTGTCCCTCAAGGATCAGTTCTGGGTCTTCTCTTATTTCTCATTTATATTGACGATCTAGGAGAGGGTCTTGAATCTCATTTAAGTTTGTATGCTGATGGCACCAGCCTCTTCCACTACTCATTTTCTCTGCAAAAGTCAACTGACATAATAAACAGAGATCTTGAACAAATACTGCAGTGGTGTTCTGTATGGCAAGTAACTCTAAATTTTGAAAAATGTGTAACTCAGTTATTCCAGAAGCGTGCAATAGCATTTAATTCATGCCATTCATCGTTATTAATTCAGAACAAAGTCGCTCGCGAAGTTACACTTCATAAACACCTAGGTTTATTTCTTGCCTCAAATCTATCGTGGGATTCTCATGTTGAGTATGTAATTGAGAAAATAACTTTCGTTCACAACTACATGAGACTTCTTAAATGGAATCTCAACCGTTTAGCATTTGAATGCTTATACATATCTTTTATTCAATCTCTAGTTAACCATGATAGTAAACTATACTCATTGGCTACGCAAAAGAATATTCTAAAATTAGAGTTGTCAGTATCAGATCTGTTGGACTGTTAGTGGTACTATGCGAGGTACTTCTAAAGACAAGTTGTTCAAGGATCAATATTGACTCTCATTCTCTCAGCTATGTTGACAAAATGTGCATGATTTATAAGATTGTTTTGGGTTTGGTTAGATTAAGTGCTCAACATTTTAGATATGTAGAGGTAAAGAAATCAAATTACGCAGGAACGACTGAAAAAAATTCTGCACGGTTGAGTACATTGCAATATCATGCTGGTCGCGCGATAACTGGAGCGATGAAAGGTACGTCTAAAGATAAGGTTTTGGCTGACTTAGGTTGGCTCCCGATACACAAATTGTTCGATAGGTACAGACTACATTTTTTTCATAAAATTATGAGAAATCTTGCTCCATCTTTTCTTAAGTTTTTAATTCTTGCTAATCAAAATTTACACTAGACAATAAGATATAAACCACCTTTGTCATAATGAAAATAGCTATTTTCCGTTAGAGACGTTTCGTCTTTATTCAAAAGACATTATCAATCAAATGTGACAAACGATAGTTGATTCTGAAGATAGAAAACAAAAAATAAAAATAAAAATTTTT